CAGTACAGTGGCTCCTCAAAAAACTAACCACAGAATTACCATATGATACAGCATTTCCTCTTATGAGTATAGACCCAAAAGAACTGAAAGCAGGGACAGACATTTGTACACCCATGTTCATAGTAGCATTATTCACCACAGCCAAAAGGTGAAAGCAACCCAAGTGTCCACGGATGGGTAAACTAAATGTGGTGAGATAAATATATAGCAATAGTATTCAGCCTTGAAAAGGGAGACAATTCTGACACATGCTACAACATGGATGAGCCTTGAGGACATCATGTTAAGGAAATAAGCCAGTCACAAAAGGACAAATATTGTATGATTCCACTTATATGAGGTACCTAGAGTAGCAAAATTCAGAGACAGAAAATAGAAGGGTGGTTGCCAGGGATTGGGGGATGGGGGGATGGGGAGTTACTGCCTAATGGGGAGACGGTTTCAGTTTTTTTACAAGATGAAGTGTTCTGTGGACACTATGGTGGTGATGGTAGCAAAACAATGTGGATGTACTTAATGCCCCTGAACTGCCCACTTAAAAATGGTTAAGTTTTTTTACGTGTATTTTCCCAGTTAAAAAAAACCTTGAAAATCAAAGAATCAGAATTCCACTTGCACATGTATTTTTTGATTGTTTTTATCCAGTTTATGAGGGAGAATGATGCCGTCTAGACCTCAGTTTCTACTCTGAAATGCAACATACTTGTGAAATTCCAGTTACATTTTTTCTCTTTAAAAAATAGTGCTTTTTAAAATAAAACATCCAATCTGAAAAGAATTAGCTGTATAACAGAACCATAAACAAAATGTATAAGCATTTGTTTTAAAGAGAACGACCTGAGTTGGGTCTTAGAAATAACCAACATTGTTTTATATATAGATCAATAATCACTTCTTGCTATGTGCCCAGTACTGAGGGATAACACCTCTCCTTTGCCATAATCTATAAAAGGCGACTCTATGTGGTAAAGTATTAAATGAAGTGTATAGTGGGTCAGAATAAATAGTGAAAAGAGAAAATGAATTTCCGTCTTTTTCCGGCAGGTGTTTGTTAATACAGTGGAACTAGGCAAAGTCACGCTCAAGGGAGATGAGCACTCAGATGCTCCACAAAACCTTCTCCCAGGTACCTCCAGACCCTGGCCCCAAACCTCCCGGCCGTACATTTCTGACCCTGTCACTCCCTTCAATTCAACAGCTCTCCACAGTTAATCAGGCTGGAATGAGGCTCTCCATTGTGGCAAGAACTACTTTCATGCACTTTGGTGAATGCTCTTCCCTCTACCAGTATTCTCTCCCCACCAAATCTCTCACTATACCTACCATAGTCCTATCCTTCAAAGCCTATCTCAAATACCAACTCGTAGAACTATGACATGAAGATGATTCCCCAAGAGAAGTGGTATTTCCTTCCTCAAACTCCCTTTCTAGTCTTAAAACACCCAACATCTATTCATAACTATTTGTGTTCCTGTTTTATCTCTCCAATTCCATGTTACAAGTTCTATGGCTAAAATAGCAGGCTTATTCACTTTCTTCTCTTTTGTTTTCCAGAGAATACACTCATTACTCAGGTTTATTCAATATATAGGAGACACCCCCCCCCACCCCCCGCCAAGGCAATTTACAACTTGGCTAAAGAGAAAAATTAAAGACAGCTGAAATACCTGCTTGGTTTTAGGCGCTAAAATGTTGTGATTTAGCAGAAAATCATAACAGCATAGTAAAGTAGTACAGACTATGGAGCCAAGCTATGTTTAAACACTGGCTTTGCCACTAACTTGATGTGAACCTCATGGAAGTTACTCAGATTCTTTGGCCTTAGCTTCTTTATCTGTAAGATGGTGAGACTATCACCAACTTCACAAGGTTGGTGTGAAAAACTGAATTCATACACAGAAACACACTTAGAACAAAGCTTGCCAAATAGTGCACAATATGTATTAGCTGTCATGTTTATCACCATTATTTTTTCTCCAAAAATCAATCTCTCCATTGGTAAATGGAGAATATCAAGCTAGACTTCTCAGGTTTCTTTCAACTCAGGGATTCCATACATCAGTGCCACATGACACTGAAGATGTCAGAGATCACCACGAGCTGACAAATGGGGACAGGCTTCATAAGAGAGCTAGAACTCAGAAAATGGGGTTTTTTATACAGAAAGATGTAAGCTGAGTAGAGAAGTGTGAAGGAAGAAGACATTCTAGGGAGGAAAGCTAGAAATAGCAGTCTAGGGAGTTAAAATAAGTTGGAACATAAGGAAGATAATTTGGCGAGAGTTTATGTTTTGGACAATCAAATAAGACATGATCTAAATGACTTTAAAAATAGTGGACTAAAAACAACTGATTATAAAACTACATTATCATTTGTGTTTTGGGAGAAGAAAGATTTCTAGTGACAGCTGATCACCTTCCACTCTAATAATCTGCCTTGAGAACAACTCACACTATGAATCTGTCGGTTCTTTAACAAGAATTTGTTCAAAACCCAAGAATTTCAACACATTCTTCTAAAGCCAAATACAAGTAAATGCTGGAATACACTTATTTTAAAAGCATCTCTCTTCTCTCTGCTGGCTTAAAGAAACTAAGAGCTGATTACGTAAAGATTTGATAAAACTAAAATATAAAGAACTGTACTCTTCCACAAATTACACTAAATTATTACAATGTAAGTCAGTTCTTACCATTTCTCTGCTCAAAACCCTGAGACAGTTCCCATCTCAGGCAGAAGAAAAATGAAATCTTCACAACAGCCTAAAAGGTCCTGGTTGTTCTGTGCTTCCCCCCACCCGCACCCCCGTACCCCCAGTTCTTCCCTGACCTTATCTCCTACCACTCCCTCCTTTGCTCACAGTGTTCCAAGCATGTTGGTCTTCTAACTGTTCCTCTAACAGGCCAGCATTGTCCTTTGCAAGGTCTTTATACTTGCTGTTCCCTCTGCCTGGAATGATCATTCCTCCAGAAACTAGCTCAGGTCACTCCCTCACCTCCTTCTAGTTGCTTAAATATCAGCTTGTATGTAAATACTTCCCTGACAATGCTATTTCAAAATGCAACACCTCCCCTTCCCTCTTTGCAGCTTTATTTTTTTTACCTAAGGCATTAATTATCTTCTAACATACAGTATAATTTATATATGTGTTTTCTGTCTCTCCCTCACTAGAAAGTAAGTTTCATGAAGGCCGGGGTCACACACCTAGAACAGTGGTAGGGAACAGGCACACAGAAGGTATCAACAAAAATATTTCTTGAGTGAATGAATTGCAGATTAGGCCATATAATGCCCCTTCTGGGTACAGGAATATACAACATACATTTTTTTCCTCCACCGCTTAAAGTATAAAAATTAATTTTGGTATGAAAGACTTATTGGCCACCTTCCACTGGGCTTGGCTCTGGAAAGTTAAAGTGAATTAAAGCAGAATCTCTGCTCTTTAGGAGTTCGGGGGTGTGTATACAGGGGACAATAGATATACAAAGATCATTTACAAAAAGCAATATGTACGGGAAGCCAGAGGAATGTGAATGACTGACCAAAGGAGTGAGGGGCAAAGCTTCCACTAAGGTGATAAGGAAGCTATGATTCCCCCAAACTCTCAACTAGTATGACTGTTCTTCCTTATATTATTGGCGCGTATGCTTGCAACTCCATATAAATTATTTACCCACATCAGATAGGCTCCTAAGTAGGCCGCAAAAAAGTTTGTGTGACGATGGTGATGCTAATCACGGATGTACGCAAAGCTACACCAAGATTACCGACTAGGTCTTTTACTGTCCTCAGATTTGGCAACTTTTCCCTATCAGGTCCCCCGACTTGGAGACTAGCGTCTGCTAACTGCTGCTGGCTTGGGTCAGAATCCTCCCCGCGGGTATCCCTCACCCGGAGCCCAGCACCCTGCAAATCCCTTCCCTTGCAGGGCGGGCGGCCGGGAGAGCGCCGCCTCCGGAACGCCGCCAACTGGGCCTCGTTAAGAGCTGCGGGAGAAGCAGGAGCCGTGGGAGGACGACGAAGCTCGGAAGGGCCCCTCGAGGCTTCAGTCACGCACTCCTACTCCTCCCCAGCCCCCTGTGCCTCGGCTTCCCCGAGGCTCCGCCGACTCTTTGTTAAGAGAGGCCGCGGTTCCCTGGCCCTCGCTAGGCCCCGCAGTTGCCTTGCGGTGCCCCCAAGGGGTTACGGCCCCGCGTCCAGACCCACCTCGCACAAACCTGCTGCTGCGGCTGCAGAGGCAGCTACTACTACCGCCGACGCGGAGAGAATCCCACGGCCCGAAGTACGAGCGGTCCAGACCCCGTCCCGCCGCGCTCCTCGCTCTCCGCCCCCTTCTTCTTCGCCGCCGCCGCCGCCGCCGCCGCCTCTCGGCCCGTAGCTGACTGGGGGAAGGGGAACAAAACCGGACATGCGCAGTGCAGAGCGCGGGCCGAAGGGCGGAGCCTGATCTATGCCTCCCGGAAGGCGCCGCGGGCTCCTGGCCCTAAAGCTCCAGACTGCCTCACAGATACCTCAGACACCTAACAGGCACTACTGCTGGATGAAGAGTGTTCATGGCCCGTTTAGGAAGTGGGCCTGGAAGTGAAGAAAGTAGCACTGACGGGGAGCCGCCAAAAGATCCCAAGAAAGAGGCTCGAGTGGAAACCACATGTACATAAAATTGTCGATCCTCTAAAGTCCGCTCCTTTGCAAATGCGACCTGGGCAAGATTTCCCCGCGTGCCTCTGGCCACGTGGTCCCGTAGAGCTTGGCGACTTTTAGTTTCCGGAGCACGGGTTCAGCGTGATGACAACTTGACTGAACCCTAGTGGAGAGCACAGGGATAGGCGCGGGCAGTTCCGGCCCAGGGGCCGGGCTTATGTAACTCGCCCAGCTTCCACACCTCGCCTCAGCTGGGCGGGGGAGGAGGCGGTCTAGTTCGGCCCCCTGAGATGTGTCCCGCCCCCGCGCCGTGCGCAGGCGCGGACTGGCCGCACGCCTTCTACGTAACGGCTGGCGGAGGCTACGTGAAGAGTGGTGCGGCGTGACTGAGCTACCTGGTCAGGCTGTGTCCTAGAGGCGTCGAGGGCAGTGAAACCTCAGTGACCCGGCAGGCGCTGGCCGGCCCGAGAGTCAGGCAGGGTAAGGCGCCAGCCGCAGGAGCGCTGGTCCGAATTCTAGCCCTCGGTACAGGTAGGGAGCGGGCCGTGACGCGCTAGTCGGTGGGGTCGGGCTGGGCCGAGCGGTGACGCTGAGTTGCGTGGCCTAACCAGGTCCCTTTTCCCACCCCCATCCCCTGAGTCCAGCCTATGGTGACATGCCTCGGTCCCCGCGCCTTCTCGCCTTTCCCGACTTTCTTAAAAACAAACCAGACTTTGTCCACCCCAAGGCCCATTTTTTGTTGGGAGTTCTGTTCGGGGTTGGAGTGACTTTTAACGGTTTTGGGGAACTTCCAGAACTGTGAGCAAATGCCAACCCGCAGGGCAAAGTTAGAGCAAGCCAACAGCGTGCCAGCAGGAAGAATGGAGCGTAGAATTGATTCTCCTTGCTGGGGAAAGACTAGACCTCGCAGGCTTAACAGAAGCAGCAACCTCTGTGGTCCGTCTTCTCTGAAGGTTTCTAACATATGTTTTTATCCAACACGTGTAAGGAGACGGGAACGTCTCCAGGATCTCCAGAAGCCTCAGGGTCTGGCCATTGTCAGAAAGGCCTACTGTAAAATGCCAACAAGGAATGATTCCTGCACTTAGTCCTCTTCCGTTTTTAAGTCCAGACCCAATAGCTGAGACTGCCAGGTGAGCTAGCAGAAGAAATCAGACCAGACTTGTTAGTGCTGGGGTGCCCTACCCCAGGAGTCTCAGGACTGCCTGTCAGGCAGGGAGTTGTGCGTTTGAGAAATGAGTTGACAGGTGCACCAGACAGACTTCTGGGAAAGAAGGCCAAGGCGCGGAAGGCTTGTATAATTTTAACCTAAATATCCTTAAAGGAGCTCTGTTGCAGGGCTGAGTTAACTTAGAAGTGCTTCTGTGGTGTGAACGTTCTAAGTGGAAATTCACTTTGAAATGACCAGACCTTTTGTCAGGGAGTTAATCAAGTTGACTGTACCAGTGTTAACCTTTATTTGCTTCTATTTGAAAAAGTTTGAAACTGAGATCTGAAAGGGAAACACCAAAAATGAAGTATTTTTACACCTTAAAGGGCGTTCATAAGGTACAGTGGAAGGAAGTGATGGGAATTGCTATTTATTGAGTACCTTCTAGGTGCCAAGCACGTATCTCTTGTAATATCCACTACAGCCCTGTGAGGCAAATAGTGAATGACTATCCCTTTTTTGTATGTGGGGAACAGGGGTTTAAGTAATTAGCCCAAGGTCACATGGCTGGCAAATGGTAGAGCTGATGTTTTAAACCAAACCTAACTCCACCAACATACGTGCTCCTTTTCATATGTCTTCCACTTTTGACTATGACGCTAAGGGTGTTTGGAGACACATCTCAAGCCTCTTTGAGGTTGTTGTCAAGAGGGCAGCTATGTTTTCCCATAAAATGTCCCCTGGTGCTAACCTCAAAGGTCAAATATTGGAAAGGATGTAATATTGGCCTATCCTTGGTGGCATTTCTCAAATCATTGGTGCCTTTCAAAATTTATGAACTTTGTCCAATTTTAAAAACATTTCTTGAGCAGCCGTGAGTTGCAAGGTATTGGGCAGTAGCCTTTGATATTGAGCCAGTTTCCTTTATGAATTTATGGTGTTGTAAATATGAGATATAGAATATTCACTATACCAGAGCACCTTGAGAGATCAGTATTGGGTTGGCCAGAAAGTTCTTTCAGTTAGTGAATATGTTGTTCAATAAAGTTCTTCATGAAAGTGAAAAATGTGTCTTTTTTGAACTTAAAGCCGAACGAACTTTTTGGCCAACCCAATACATACTCCCTTTTGCCACCCATTCACTCTGTTAGTACTCAGCTCCCTGCATCCTGGCTTTCATACTTAACACTTCCTTGCAGTTGCCAATAGTGACTTCCTTATTAACATTGGGAAATTTTTGGTCCATATCTTACTTGAACTTTCTGCAGCAATTGAAACCAAGCTCTGTTTCCTTCTTAGAAATATGCTTATCCTTTGACTTCTGTGCTACCGCTTTGACCAAAGTCTCTTTTTCTTTTTCTTTAACCATTCCTTAGTTTCCCATTCCAGTTCTCCCTATTATGCACAACTCTTAGCTGTTATGATTTGTTTCAAGACTTTTTGGTGCTTTTTTTTTTTTTAAACCTAACTCTTAATACTCCCTGGGGATCTCTTCCATTCTCATACCATCTCTATTTCCAGCTTAGGCGCGTATCCTGAACTCCAGGCTTATACTTCAAATGCTTCCTTTCCTCCCTTTGTAAAATAGGTTATAATACCTTTTAGGATATTGTGAAAATTAAGAGATAAATGTTAATCATCTAACATACTGCTTGAAAACACTTAAAACTTTTCAACAAGTGTTAAATTTAATTTATTGCCTTCCCCCAATTTTTTCGCTCCTTTATTGTTTTTTATTTCAAGGATGACTTTATCCAGCTGTTAATCAAGCCAAAACTTGGAATCACCCCAGATCTTCCTTCCCCACATTCCTTATATTCAGTCACTTTATGCTGACAAATATAATTCTTAATACCTGTCAAATCTGTTTTCCTGTTCATTCCCAATACCACTGCCAGTTCAGTTGTGTTTTATCTCCTAATTATCTCAGCCACTTCCAATTTTTCCCACTTCAGGTGCCCTTCTCTAATTCACCCTCTGTATGAGCTGTCAGGGTTAAATTGCAAATCTGATTGTGTCACTCTCTTAAATCCTTTAGTTGATTCTAATCATCCAAACTTCTTAGTGTGGTATTTAAATAAGGATGATCAAATAAATAAATAAATAAGGATCATCATGATCTGGCCTGTGCTGGCCTTTTTAGCCTCATTTCCCCCATTTGGGTCTACAAACCCAATGTTCTATCATAACAAACTCCTAAAATGCGCTGTTTCAGCCCTCTATGCTATAGCTGTTCCTCAGTCTGCAGTGCCTCTTCTTGAGTGCAGGAACTATCCTTTTATTTTATTTTTTAAAGAACATTTTATTATTATAAGAACATAATAGAAAAATAAGAAAAGTATTCAATATAAAGAAAAATAAAGGCAAAATGTCCATAATTCTATCATACATAATAACTACTATTTATATGTAGATGTATGTATGACCTTCTAAACCTTTTTGTTTGTGTATTTGCTTCTAAAATAACTTGGGTTCTAACTTCATTCATAACAATTTTTAATAAACAAAAAGTAAGTTTGTTTTTTGTATGTATGTATGGTTTAACCGGTTTCAGATTTTTCCTGTCATACTGTAACTCATGCCCTTGAAGCTAGGTTCTCTTGGCATAGTATCTGACGTGGTGATATGCTCAGTGAGGGAACATTTTATTTGATATGGTAGGATCATTTTATGAAAAGCAGTGAAAGCCAGAGGAGTTTTATATTATTCTTTGGGTAATTGGTTAGCCTTCATTGGTGATTGAATCCTTATGTAACAGAAGTCATGTTTTAGAAGGATAACGGTAGTTTCTAGTGAGAAGTAGGGAGTAGGGAGAGAGTTGAACAGGGGAGACCATTTAGGATAATACTGTGGTTCTTGAGTAGGTGGTGTTAGCAACATTTGCTACTTTAAATAAGTAACAAAATCACTGCTACTGGCTTACGTTGGAGATGCTGCCTGAGAAGTGGATGATAGCAAGGATTCTGGAGGCAAAACTGGCATCAGAACATAGTTCTCTGTCACTTGGTGGTTGTATTAGCATTTCTGTGCCTCATTTTCCTTATCTATGAAATGGGGATGTTAATGAAACCACTTTCTTCAGAGGGTTATCATGAGGATTAAATTAGTTGCTTTTTGTAAAGCCTTTAGGACAGTGCCTAGCACTTTGTGTCTTAAACATGTGCTTTGATGATGATGATGATGTGCACACATAAAGTTGATCTAAGAATGAATAGCTTTTCCATTCATGTATTATTTTTATTACAACCAACAGATAGTTGCATCTCATTCTTCTTTCATTATCCCTCTCCCAGTTTCTATATAAAGCTTTTTATAGGCGTTCAAAAACTGCGTACTGAGTACACAGTGTAAATGGAAACCAACCTAAAGAAATTAAATGACTAGTACAGGATTTTACAGATAACTAGTGAGAGAGTCCAGACTAGAACCCAGGCCTCTTGAACCTCAACTTATTATTCTTTATATAATGCTATCTGAAATGAACAGTATTAAATAAGAGAAAAGTGGGAGAGTCTTAGATTTATTTTTTAACTGTTTACAAAATGTGATCGGTATGTGTAGAATGGCAGTCCACTTAGGGTTTTTGTTTTTGTCTTGTTTGACTCATTTTTAAGGGGCAATGAAAGCCTTCCATGCTTTCTGTGTTGTCCTTTTGATATTTGGGAGTGTCTCTGAAGCCAAGTTTGATGATTTTGAGGATGAGGAAGACATCGTAGAGTATGATGATAATGACTTTGCTGAATTTGAGGATATCACAGAAGACTCTGTTACTGAATCTCCTCAACGAGTGATAACCACTGAAGATGATGAAGACGAGACTACTGTGGAGTTGGAAGGGCAGGATGAAAACCAAGAAGGAGATTTTGAAGATGCAGATACCCAGGTAAAGGTTCTTTTTTATTGATTTCTTGGGAAAGTGGAAGGATGGGACAATGTGTAACTAGCACTTTTCCCAGACATTAAAAGTAATGCCCAGGTCTAAGGAGACCTTTACCCTCTGGTATGCTCATTTTTATTCAGTAGGTGGAGCTCATCTAAATGTTTGTGGTATGTTCTCACCTTTTACATTCAACAAAAAATGAATTGTATTTTTGTCCTCTATGCAAAGCCTGGATGGAGGATGATGGAGTGGGGGTGGATATGTATTGGTATGTGGGTAGGTGGGAATTGTATCATTTAGAACTCAGGGTTCAAATGCATGGGGGGGTCATCATTTGTTTAAAATATGTAAGATCTCTGTGTTCTGTGCTTGCTGCTTTCATGTTCTTTTTTCCTTACAAATGTTGTTTATAAAAATGAGATAAAATTGCTGGTGATGTTAGTGGGGGAAAACAGATTGTGCCTCATTTTCGTAGGAGGGAGATACCGAGAGTGAACCATATGATGATGAAGAATTTGAAGGTTATGAAGACAAACCAGATACTTCTTCTAGCAAAAATAAAGACCCAATAACAATTGTTGATGTAGGTATACAGGTTTTGAATCCCAAACTAACCAACAAAATATCTTGCTGTCATTAATCTCAGAAATATAATTAGTGACACGTAGCTGGTGTTGATGTAACGTGGGAGCCATGAAAGAGTTTGACATCAGTTCTTCTGATGCAGTGGACACACGGAAAAACAACCTGTATCTTTTGTTGGGTTCTTTTTATATAAATTTATTTATTTATTTTATTTTTGGCAGTGTTGGGTCTTTGTTGCTGTGCGCAGCCTTTCTCTAGTTGCGGTGAGCGGGGGCTACTCTTCATTGCAGTGCACGGACTTCTCATTGTGGTGGCTTCCCTTGTTATGGAGCACAGGCTCTAGGCACGCAGGCTTCAGTAGTTGTGGCACACGGGCTTAGTTGCTCCTCGGCATGTGGGATCTTCCCGAACCAGGGCTTGAACCCATATCCCCTGCATTGGCAGGCGGATTCTTAACCACTGCACCACCAGGGAAGTACCACAACCCGTATGTTTTTATTTTAGCCTTCCTAGTTTTATTTACCAAGGAATGAGGAGGATAGACATTGGGTTTATTTGAGAGGTGGGACTCAGAATCAAGATGAATACAGAGGGCTTTCCAGCTTTTCGTCCCATTTGATTATCCTCATATCTCCTTAAAGAATCTTTTACAAAGATGACCTGGAAGGACTTCCCTAGTGGTGCAGTGGTTAAGAATCCGCCTGCCAACGCAGGGGACACGGGTTCAATCCGTGGTCCAGGAGGATCCCACATGCTGCAGAGCAACCTTGCCCGTGCGCCACAACTACTGAGCCTGTGCTCTAGGGCCTGCGAGCCACAACTACTGAGCCCAAGTGCCACAACTACTGAAGCCCGCATGCCTAGAGCCCATGCTGTGCAACAAGAGAAGCCAATGCAATGAGAAGCCCACACACCGCAACAAAGAGTAGCCCCTGCTCGCCGCAACTAGAGAAAGCCCGCGTGCAGCAATGAAGACCCAACACAGCCAAATAAATAAATAAATAAATAATAAATAAAACCTTCATTAAAAAAAAGTAACACTGAAAAAAAAAAAGATGACCTGGAAAACCGAAATGGGCATATTTTTCAAAGTATAACCATATTCAGTGACAGTTATCTAACGTATCCACTTCTGTTTATGGGTTTTCTCATTCTCCTTCATACCTTGAGTTAGACTTCGTCCTCCAGCCTCAGCCAACATTAAATGGAACGATTGTTCTTCTTTAGGTTCCTGCACACCTCCAGAACAGTTGGGAGAGTTATTATCTAGAGATTTTAATGGTGACTGGTCTGCTTGCCTACATCATGAATTATATCATCGGGAAGAATAAAAACAGTCGCCTTGCTCAGGCCTGGTTTAACACTCATAGGGAGCTTTTGGAGAGCAACTTTACCTTAGTAGGTAAGTTAGGCTAATACAAGTCTAGCCACCTGTTTGAAAACTTTCTGGTAAGAACTGCTTATTCTGCCCAGTGTAAGCATCTAACTACTTTCATGGACTGCTGAAAAGGATGCTTTTTTTTCTTCTCTCAAGGATCCCTTTTTGTTAGGTTTTGCATAATGAATAAATTGCATTCATGAAATAATTTTCTCACCTTTCATCAATCATTTGCTGTACAGCTTCAGATAGAATGAGACAATCAGTGTTATCAAAACAAGTTGATAAAAATCTAGCCAAAAGCAAAGAATTTTGACATTTTAGGTAGCTTGATAAATGCTTTCAATTCATCTTTTAGAAATTAGAAGTCCTTCAAAATTCCTTCAGGTTTTAGGCACTTTAGTGCCAGATCCACTGCAGAGATGTACAAGATGTACACTGATACCTTAGAGGAAGTCCTGTAATGGTGTAGTGTAGGGGGTAAGGTAGACTCACCTTCACTTCAGTTTGGCTTTAAACACTTTGTTTCCCTTTGATAGCAAGCAAGTATCCATCTCTTCTGCCCTTTAGCAGGACTGTGTACTATGTTGTGCTAGGTACTTTGCATACATTGTTTCTTATTTAATCTTTAGAACAATACTGTCAGTTGGATATAGTTTCTGCTTTCCTAAGGAGGGAACTGAAGTCTGGAGAAGTGTTAAAATTTGTCTAAGCTGTTCAACTGCAACCATGATATTAGAACCTAGTCTACCTGCTTCCAAAGTCCATGCTGTCCACTGTACCATACTATTTCAGTACTTTTTGACCTGGAAATTAGGAAAAAAATAAGCAGCCCGTAATGCCTTCTGCTTCCCTTGGTGTGTTTTCATTTGGTGTGTCAGTCTGCTTTACCTTGTAAAGTTGGACAGATTTTTTTGTACATTAATGAATTAAATGAAGAGAGGAAATTATTGGAATTTGAGCTTTTTGTAGCTCTTAATACCACTATTATCATTTTGCTGCAGGGAAAACAAACTTGGATAAAGTTAAATGAAAGGAAACACAGTGAGGGAGTATTGAATAGTTAGTATTAATGGTATTTTTTATTCACTACATAGGTTTTTTTTTTTAACTTTTGGCAGAGACATTTAAACTGACTTTGCTCCATTTTGTACCTACTCTTGAGATACTTATATTCCAAGCTGAATGTCGTTAACTAACAAGGACACACAAGAAATGCTAGAGTCCATAATTTTTTAATGGCAACAATAAAGCATTTTAAAAGTAAAAGGAATAATGCCCATCTGTTGTAATCTATGTCTAAAGGAGAGTTCTAAAAGATAGATAAGTATTGTTAACCTAAAGGTACCGTCATTTTGGGGTCAGAGTAGAAGAGTGTGTGGTGATTAGGCCCCAACATTTCCAGTGAATCATGTTAATGGTTTTACCCCTAGGGGATGATGGAACTAACAAAGAAGCCACCAGCACAGGAAAGCTGAACCAGGAGAATGAGCACATTTACAACCTGTGGTGTTCTGGTCGAGTGTGCTGTGAGGGGATGCTTATCCAGCTGAGGGTAAGTAGGGAATTTCTGGTACAGTGTATATCTTCCTTTCATTTTTTCCAGTGTGATCCCAAGTCCTGTAAGATCAGTGTCTCATTTTTTTCATGTTTGACTTAAAATGAGATCTAAAAATCATCTTTTGGGAATTCCCTGGTGGTCCAGAGGTTAAGACTCTGCGCTTCCACTGCAGAAGGCCCAGGTTCGATCCCTGGTCAGGGGACTAAGATCCTGCAAGCCACGCGGCACGGCCAAATAAGTAAATAAAAATCATCTTTTTTACTGACTGGCAAATGTAGAGTATATTTGATGAAGCATTTGAGTCCCCTTCCAATGTCTTCTCCTTATAGCAAACAGAAGTTGCAATTGTTCTCTTGGGTTTTTTTTTTGCTTTTTAGTTCCTCAAGAGACAGGACTTATTGAATGTCCTGGCCCGGATGATGAGGCCAGTGAGTGATCAAGTGGTATGTATTCTTCCTGCTGGTTTTCTCTGTACAGATTGAATTCTTAACTTCTTAGAGCTTGTTCCATTTCTTGCCAGGATTATATTTGGACTTTCTAACAACTTGTGTCCCTTGCCCAAATAATGGAACCTTTTCTATCTAGACAGATCATCTTCCACTCAGTGTGAAACTGGGGGTGGAGGTGCAGGTGGGTGTGAGGAGACATATGTGCTTTTTGTGGGGAAAGAGGTAATACTCTGTCACCAGGTAGATCAGCAGAATCAACCTGGATGATGGAGGGAAAAACAGTTGTCACAGACCGTTTGCCCTCACATCTGACTCTGCTTTTGGTATCTGCTTTTATCTTTGGCAGTAGGCTGGGTTTCTTTTCAAATATTTTTTGCCTCAAGTAATACATCTTGGGCTGAATGAGTTCATGACACAATATGGAGACCTTATTGTTTGGTATACTTTCTTTCCTTTGTTAAATTAACATGTTAATCTGAAAATTGTGTCCTTCCTTAGAGATGCCACATTCCCCCTCCCTTCATTCTTCCAATAAATAATTGTGCTGACTCCCACTGCTGCAAGAAACAAAAATACATGAGACAGTCTTTTATATCAGCTAGTAGAACAAGAAATGTATGCATATATATCAAAATACAAAGTAGTATTTGGTTAATAAGTGCCATATTGGTAATATAATTAGGTACTTTTTATTGGATTGAAACTCAATTGTTATTTTAAAGGTCTTACTGTTAGTTGGAAACCTGTTTCTTTTATTTATTTTAATTTTTCTAATGTGGCCGCTGATGATTTAACCCACTAATTTTTAGAGCCTCCTCTAAAAACTCAAAGGAGAAAGTTTTGCTGCATCTTCAGCCATCTTTTTGTAGAAATTCTTCAGAGTGTTGTGTTAATCATTTTCAGTTCTTTCCTGAGGTAGATTTAATCTTCTCTTTTCTTCTGAGCCAGCCAGCCTTTTACCTTTTTTGCTGTTTTGGGTTTTTTTTTTTTTCCCTGCAATGAAAAGCAGCCTCAACAAACCTATGGGTTTTTTATATTTTTAAGCCTTTTTATGTGGGTTCTGCTTAAAAGAGCAGGAAACCTTTTCTTTAGCAGCTGCCATCTTCCCAGATCTTTGCCGTATTTCCCTTCATTAACATTTCCCTTCTTCCACATATATGCTAGTAAATTTTGACCCAGACTTTTAAAAATATAGTTAATAAGACAAATAGGGCCATGTTTTATCATACCAGACTCTTTAGGCTTATAACTTTATCTCTCTGGCCCAATGTAGAGTATTAAAAACTGTTTAACCTGCCTCTGGGGTGTTTCCAACACCAACAAATTCTCTGATTCTCCGGATACCAGTTGGGTGTCCAACAATTCAATTCAATTCAATTCAATTCTGATACTATACTAACTTGGAGTTAGTGCCAGATCCCACAAGTTAAAGGTCTCATTCCCACAAGATTGCCCACACTTCAGATGCCAGTTGCAGGCCCCAGGCCACCATACTTCTGACTGCCCAGCTATAAATCTAGAGTTCCCACAGCCCTCCCCTCAGGTTCAATAATTTTCTAGAATAGCTCAGAGAACTCAGGAAAACACTTTACTTACATTTACCAGTTTATTGTAAAGGCTACAATTCAGGAACAGCCAAATGGAAGAGAGGCATGGGGGTGGGGCGGTGCACAGAGCTTCCATGCCTCTAGAGCTTGGGCCCCTCTTCATAGGGTCATTTAGGCTGTTGGCAGAATTCAGTTCCCTGTGGTTGCAAGTTCCTATTTTCCTGCTAGTTGTCGCTGGGAACTGCTCTTAGCTCCTAGAGGCCATTCTCAGGTCCTTGCCACGTGGTTCCCCTCCACCCCATAGCCCTTTCACACTTTCCCCCTTTCTTCAAGTAGGGTCCAGTCCCTTTTGAGGACTCACTTGATTAGATCAGTCCACCCAGGATAGTGTCTTTTGATTAACTCAATTAGGGACCATCTGCTATGTAACAGCATAATCATGGTAATGATAATACCATCACATTCGTAAGTCCTGCTCACATTTGAGGGGAGGATGTATACACCAGCAGGCAGGCATATTGGGGGCTGTCTTAGAAATCTGCCTATCACAGAACCTAACAGATGAGTTTTGTTGGGTTTTTTTAAAGCAAATAAAAGTAACCATGAATGATGAAGACATGGATACCTATGTGTTCGCTGTTGGTACTCGGAAAGCCTTGGTACGACTACAGAAAGAGATGCAGGATCTGGTATGTCAAGTTCTTTTTCAAATAATATGTAGAAACTGTGCCTCTTTATTACATAAATGTTTGACTTCAGAACATAAAATAGTTATATCACTTGAACAGTTGTATCACTTTGAAATAAGTCAGTACATATTCTCTTGAGAAAAAAAATCCTTGTGCATAATAAAATATGTCTTACTTTCAACTACGTCTTCCTCTAGAGTGAGTTTTGTAGTGACAAACCTAAGTCTGGAGCGAAGTATGGACTGCCTGACTCCTTGGCCATCCTGTCAGAGATGGGAGAAGTCACAGAGGGAATGATGGATACAAAGGTAAATACAATAGAAGGTAAATACAATAGAAGGTAAATACAATAGAAGACATACATTTGTAGGTAAATACAATAGAAGACATACATTTGTAGACCATTTACGGGGCAGTCTCCCTGAAAGTTACCCTATATAAATTCTTCATTTTTATCTTCCTTTCCCACACAACCATTAAAATACTTTCCTTAAACAATAGATTCACTTGTCAAAAAGACAGTTTTATTAGTCAAGAAATTCTCTCTAAATCAAGAACAAATTGTCCCTAGGATTGCTAATGGCTTTCGGGTTTTTTGAAAAAGGACTACTACTTTAATCCTTATCACCATGTCATTTAGTACGTTTGTTAAAGTTTCAGTTTGTATAGAAGACGGGTATATAAAGAGCTATTTTTTTCCTATTGGTTGTGTATGGTAACAGCACATCTTAGTATCATAAAAATATAGGATAGCTCAAAGACAGTTCTAAATGTAAGTTCTGGGTGATGTGGTTGTGAAGAATTCCTAAAATTATTTTAGATTTTATGTTCATGCTTTCACTCGTATTTTGAACACTATTTTTAGATATATTTTCAGCTGCTCAATTTTGATCATTGGTGTGACTAAAGAAGGGCAGTAGTTTCATCATAGGGAGAGTCCTTATTTAAATTTAATTTTTTTTAAGCTTTAGCCTTCATGACATTGTGCAAAAGTAAGGAGGATTAAAGAGTGAATATCTATGAAAAAAGAGAAGTGCATCAAACCTACTTTAAAAAAAATAATTTTCTTTTCTTATTTCAGATGGTTCACTTTCTTACACACTATGCTGACAAGATTGAATCCGTTCATTTTTCAGACCAGTTCTCTGGTCCAAAAATTATGCAAGAGTACGTATGAAATAAAAATACTGAAATCAGTTTTCTTCACTAGCTTTCTGTGTTGAAACACCTGCAAGGTGCTTCTGCAATTTCCCTTCCCAAATGAGTGAGGGAAGTTGGTGACAGCATCCAAGTTTTCCTTTGCCTTGACTGCATGCATTGAGAAGGTAATTGAAAACCTATGGGGGACAATCAAATAAGCCTCCCCAGTTTGCATGTGTCACCGCATGTATGCATCACCCACTCAGTGAGGTAAATGAGAACCTAACAGAATGGCTAATACTAAGAAAATGCAATTGGTAGTCTCTGTCCTTTGTAGTCTAGGGTTGTTGTTTTTTGGGGATTTTTTTCCTTTTTAATTTATGATGCGAATCTGTGACGTTTGATTTGTGTTTGATTGCAGGTGTATGCATTTTGTAATTCATGGCCTTTTCCGGCTTTCTTCTTTGAATGGTTGAGTGATTATATTCTTTCTAGTGTATTATCATACACCCTTAATGCCCGTAAAGTTTCTGGCTTTATAGTAATATTGTTTGAATGTAAATATTCAGGGCTTGAATTTGCTGTTTGATTTCACATCCTGTCGCAGGAGAGCGTATTTAAGTTTACCCTTGGTGTAGAATTGGTTCTGACCTAAATTTCTGGCTAAGGACTGTGGAGTTGAATACAGTTAAAAGCCAATTTGAATTTTAATTTTGTGTCAAAATCACTAAGGTAATCAAAATTACTTATGCCTCTAGATGGTGTCGCATCGTCCTTGCCTTGCTCAACTCAATAATAACACTTTGGACAAAGTATCACATTGCGGCATTCATGGAGCATTTTGTGTGTGGGGCGAGGTGTGGAGGGTTGAAAGTCAAAGATTACAAGAGGATTCTTTGGGGAGTCAGAACTAAATTATATATGCTATAGTAGATTATTTCTCAACTTATTCTGAGCCTGACTCAAAAATAAGATCCTTCATCATAGGAAGATAGATTAAGAGTTAGAAATAAAACATAAAAATCCATCAAAATAGGGCTTCCCTGGTGGCGCAGTGGTTGAGAATCTGCCTGCCAATGCAGGGGACACGGGTTTGAGCCCTGGTCTGGGAGGATCCCACATGCCACGGAGCAACTAGGCCTGTGAGCCACGACTACTGAGCCTGCACGTCTGGAGCCTGTGCTCCGCAACAAGAGAGGCCGCGATAGTGAGAGGCCCGCGCACTGCGATGAAGAGTGGCCCCCACTTGCCACAACTAGAGAAAGCCCTCGCACAGAAACGAAGACCCAACACAGCAAAAATAAATCAATAAACTCCTACCCCCAACATCCAAAAAAGAAAAAAAAAATCAAATAAAAAGGTTATTTAAAATATGGGCCTCATACTTAAATACAGGCTCATTTCTGGCTCCCCAGGTGAGATGGAATTATCCTTCCTGGAGGGGACATCACTGGAGGTGTTGAAGGATAGGATAAAGATCACTTGGGAATGCATCCATCAGATAGACGAGTGGACCAGATGACCTGTAAAGCTCCTTCGGGCTCTGAGATTGTATTTAACTTGGGGATGCCAAGCCAAATACTGTGCTGATTATTTGCACAGTTATCTGTTCATCTAAGTGAATTGGGTGACTTATGTGCATGGAAAGTATCTCTCTCTTGTGTTCTTTCTAAATAGCTCTTTCTTTTATGACAGGGAAGGTCAGCCTTTAAAGCTACCTGACACTAAGAGGACACTGTTGTTTACATTTAATGGTAAGTGTTCTGTGTCCTGTCTGAGTTCTTTGTTTTCTGTGAGATGATGTTAAGGAGAGTATTGTTTCTTTCTAAACGATAGCTGTTAAAACTAACCCCAGCGACTTCCCTGGCGGTCCAGTGGTTAAGACTTTGCTTTCCAATTCAGGGGGTGCTGGTTCGATCCCTGTTCAGGGAGTTAAGATCCCACATGCCTTGCGGCCAAAAAACCCAAAACATAATAACAGATTCAATATTGTGACAAATTCAATAAAGACTTTAAAAAAATGGGCCACATCAAAAACAAAATCTTTAAAAAAAAAAAAACCTCATGCCACCTTATTGGTTTTTTGGTTTCTTCAGTAAGAGATCCTTTTATATATTTTAATTTCTATTTTCTGCTGCATTTTAGCTGCCTAAGAAATTGGGAGAAAGGAGCCTATTAATACAAAAAGAAAAAAAAATTAATACAAGAAATATGAATGCTGCCATTAACTCAATAGGAAAATTGTTTTGTTTTCCAGTGCCTGGCTCAGGTAACACTTACCCAAAGGATATGGAGGCTTTACTACCCCTGATGAACATGGTGATTTATTCTATTGATAAAGCCAAAAAGTTTCGACTCAACAGAGAAGTAAGACCTGCAGCCTTTATTATAAGTTGGAGCCTTTTATTGTGTTTTTCCCCCCAAGGGGCGGCGGGGAGGGGGGTCAGCTTTCGATTATTTCAGTGATTTTATCTTTGCTAGTTGACTTAAAAGTGCTGCATGGGAGTGGTTTTATGAAAGAATATTAAATGGGATTTTGTTTCTGTTTGGATTGAAATGGATTTCTTAAGAATTGCTTTGTGTCCTGGGGAAAGGGCAAACAGAAAGCAGACAAGAACCGAGCTCGAGTGGAGGAGCACTTCCTGAAGCTGACGCATGTGCAAAGACAGGAAGCTGCCCAGTCTCGGCGTGAGGAGAAGAAAAGAGCAGAGAAGGAGCGAATCATGAATGAGGAGGATCCTGAGAAACAGCGCAGGCTGGAGGTAAGACAGACTCTTCTTATCACTGAGGTAAAACTCAGATTTATAAGGATGCCTATTTGCGCCATATTGGCTGGTAAGGTAATTCTGTGTAGGAATGTACACGGGCTAAAGGCTTAGCATTTTCTCAGCACTTGGGACAGTTGATAGCACTGTAAAAAAAAAAGAATAATCCTTCCTGTTCAAACCATGTTAGATTGAGCCACAGTCCTGGAGAATGATATGAATTATCCTGTTCCCCCCAGCATAGGCCCTTTTTGAAAGTTCCACTATCATCTTTCAAGCCAAACACATACTAGGGTAGAAAGAAATTTGGAATTTTAATAGAAGCCAGGACATGTGCCCTATGGTCCACATAAAATTGTTTCATAAAAATTTTATTTTGATTATAGAATTAGAGAATTCTAATATTTTTTCTTTGTATTTTGTTTTCTATTTTGTACATAACTAGAATCTCAAACTCAAGAGCTTTTTAAGGCTGTAGTCCGTTATGTTTCAAACATCAGCATATTCTCATGTTTTGTGAAGTAAGATGCTGCAGTCCAGCTGTAACATTTTAAACCTTGTAAATGCTGATCAAAGAGGAGAACAAAGTTCTGGGAAATGTGAATTTTAATGTGAATAACCTCAAGGATTGAAGAAAATTCTCGTAAGTGGAGGAGGCAGGCTGCCAAGAAAAAGTGAGCCCCTGGACTTCCCTGGTGGCGCAGTGGTTGAGAGTCCGCCTGCCAGTGCAGGGGACATGGGTTCGAGCCCTGGTCCGGGAAGATCCCACATGCCCCGGAGCAACCAAGCCTGTGCGCCACAACTACTAGAAGCCCACACTCCTAGAGCCCGTGCTGCGCAACAAGAGAAGCCACCGCAATGAGAAGCCCGCGCTCCGCAACAAAGAGTAGCCCCCAGTCCCCGCAACTAGAGAAAGTCCGCGCGTAGCAACGAAGACCCAACACAGCCAAAAATAAATAAATAAATTTTTAAAAAAGAAAAAAAAATGTGAGCCCCTGTGTGGCACTTTAGTTGCTGGTAGAGTCATTAATGCTGTTGAGTGAAGTGCCCAGAGTACCACAGCCCTCCTCTCATCCTTTCTCATCAATCTTTGGTTTGGTTTAGTTGATGGGTATTTTTCCCCTGAAAATAGAGCTCTGTGTTTATGCAGTCTTCTTTATAAATATAAATGGCTTTTTAACAGATACACAGGAAGAATCTACATGGACTCATTAATAGATAATGCCTTTCATTTTTCTATGGAAAAAAAAGTTCTCCAGTTATTTCTAGAGTTTGAAACTATAGTAGGTTTAAGTAAAAGAGGGGCCCAGAACTTAAGTCAGATTGTAAGTTGCTTGTGGGTGTAAACCATGTATTTTTTTTTTAGAACCACCACTTTATAGTATCTAGGCCTAGGTACCTTGTAAAAAGCTCCAGTGAATTAAATGGGAAAGGAGCCAAACAAAATACAAAAAACCCTACAGTGAATTGCTGGCTTGAATGGCTCATTTATACCAATGATCTGGACCTTCCTGCCACTACTGGTAGAGCCTTGTTTTGTTTCGTTACATATTTAATTTGAAAAGTATAGAGAAACATATACACAGACATTAAAATTAACCTTAATTCTACCATGTAAGAACAGTAACATAATCCTTCAGACAGTTCCCATCCCTAAAACCAACCACTGTTAACACTATATAGTTTATTTAGTCCCTCAACTGTGTATATTCAGTGTACTTATTTCATTTCTTAATGTAGAACATCTTATAAACTTTTTATATTAAAAATATAGCAATCTTTCAAGAAAGTGTCTTTCCATTTTTTTTTGAGGTATGAGGGCCTCTCACTGTTGTGGCCTCTCCCGTTGTGGAGCACAGGCTCCGGACGCACAGGCTCAGTGGCCACGGCTCACGGGCCCAGCCGCTCTGCGGCATGTGGGACCTTCCTGGACCGGGGCACGAACCCGTGTCCCCTGCATTGGCAGGCGGACTCTCAACCACTGCGCCACCAGGGAAGCCGCAGCAATTCTTATAACTATCTTCTGGAATGTTATTTGTGATGCTAGCCTAAATAGTATAGGCAGTATTCTAGTTTTGACTTTTTTTTAAACAAGTACTGAAATCTTAGTTTTCATTCCCTCTTTCTCTCTAGGAAGCTGCCTTGAGGCGTGAGCAAAAGAAATTGGAGAAGAAGCAAATGAAAATGAAACAAATCAAAGTGAAAGCTATGTAAAGTCATCCAAGAGATCTGATGAGTCCTTATGCCACCTGTAAGCTCTGAATTCACAGGAAACAAAAAATACCAGTTCATTTCTCATCTTAAAGTTTCCAAGTGACTGAGAAATCCTTATTTCATCATGTGTTCTGTTTTTGGTTTGGAGTTTTACAAAGGTCATAGATACATTGGAAGGACTCTGTTACAGTAATTTTCTTCCAGATAATCAAATTATTTTGATTATTTTATAAAAGGAATAATATATGAAATCTGTGTAGTTTCAAAACATTTTAAAAATTATAACATGAATCAGTACTTTTAGTGCTTGATATTTGAAGAAATATCATGAAATTTATAGATATATAATTAGATTGTTGCTTTTTGTTTAAACTAGGCAGTTGAAATGGCTATGAAGACTGACTCTAAACCAAGATTCCACAGATAACTATTGGAATTGCACAATAAACATTGCTTGGTGTTCTCTTCTGTGTCTACATTAAACTTGTAAAAAAAAAAATAAAATTTAGAACACTATATGTGGTGTTGAGATTTCAGGGACTCAACAGTCTAGTTCAGTATATGTTTATAGGTGGGAGGTGCTGATGACAGTATGATAGGATATCTGTAGGCTTTAGGATACTTACATGTATGTGGAAAATTCTAGGGACAGGTAGTACAGGAGCACGGTTTCCTCCTTACCTGATACCATGAGCTAATGACAATGTGAATGCTGTATTTTAAGTGGTTGTATGTTTTTTTGAGTAACAAATGCATGAAAAATTAACTGCTTCACCTAGATGAGATCAGTGGTCTATGTGAAGTCACAAAAGTTTCCTTCTTGGTCGCCACAACGTATGGGATGTTCACGGAGAAGCTCTGTTCTCTGTGTTATGGCCATGTCCCTTTGCTTCTCCTTCTGCTTTTATCTCTTCCACAGTTGAGGCTGGGTATATTCTTTCAAAGAAATAGCCATGAATATGCATAAACATACTTTTAAAAATGAACTTTCCTAGACTATTGAGAGTTCCTTCTGCCTCTTAAGGAAGGAACTCTTGGGGGAGAGGCCCATCTATCTGCACAAGCATTTAGCTTGTTCAGATCTCTGCATTTTATAAATGCTTCCTACTAAGAAAGCATTTTTTAAGTCACTGCTTGTACCAGGTAATTTTTGCTGGGGATGGGAAAGGGTTGGGTTTTTTGTGGGAGAGGGGTGGGTGGGTATTTTTTGTTGATGCTTTATGTGCAGGTGTGTTCTGAGGCAATAACAAGTTGCTGTGAAAACAGCATGTGCTGCTGCCTTCGTAACTGCATGGAAACTTTTCACATGGGTTTTTCTCTAGGTTAATGCAGAAATGTATAAACTGGGAGATGCAAATGTAATATTTTTTTTAACAGTTCATGAAATTAAGTTATTAAAATAACAATTTAATTACCTTAATGCTATATAATTCTAGAATTAGCCTTGTTTTACAAACCTTTAACCTGCATTTTAGAAATCAAAGTTGGTATGCTTAGCTATCTTTTGATTAATAAAAGCTTTCTTAAAGTCCCACACATTTGGACCATGGCAGCTAATTTTGTAATTTAAGCATTCATATGAACTACCTATGGACATATATTAAACTAATTGACAAAAGCCTCAGAGTGCCGCCTTTACTTTTCTGGGGTTGCCCTACAAGAGTATAAGCCCATAGTTGTTACCAGTTTTTGGTGTTTTGTTTTGTTTTTGGCTGTGCTGCACGGCTTACGGGATCTTGGTTCCCCAACGAGGGATCAAACCTGCGCCTTCGGCAGTGAAAGCGTGGAGTCCTAACCACTGGACCACCAGGGAATTCCCACTAGTTAGTTAATGTTTTATATTTTTAGAGCCCCATTATGTCATTGATGGGCGTCTCCCCAAAGTCCCCCACTAGAGTTAAGACACCATTGTCTCTCCTATGACTGAGAGGACAAAGAGAGGAGAATGTTGACTGTCACACGTTGGAAAACCTGTCTTGTCCCCCAGTATTGTCTGCATTGCCTGGGCACTTAGCAACACCACAAGTGCTGGACTGGAAGATAAAGACTTGGCCTTTAGTGCCAGCAAAACCAGTTACCAATCCTTTGACTTTGGGCAGGTCATTAACCTCTTTGAGTCTCTGTTCTAATCTTCCTTCTACAAAGTAAGGGAAGTAATTATTTTCTCTACCTACTTCACATGTAGGTCAACACCAAGAGGTAATATATGTAAAATTCTCCTGTAAATGGTAGCACTTTAAAAAATGTATCATCTAGGCCTGTTCTCCAAGTGGTGTATTTTTGCTTTATTCTGTTTTGCTTTTCTTTCTCTCAGTGGAAACTAAGCAGATCCTTCTTCTCTAACTTTTGAGTATAAGTTTCTGAATAGCCAATCTGTTCATTTCTCTTTTAGCTGGATGAGGCTGGGGGGGGGGGGGGTGGGGGTGGGGGGGATAGTTTACAATTCTGTTTCCTTAATAATAGAAACTTTCCTTGTCAGGCACCAGATGTGAAACTCTTTTCTTTAGATGGAACTTAGACCAAAGAAAAACATTAATTGGCTTTCTCATTCCACCCATCCAATAGGAATTGGAAACGTGAAAATTACTTCGAGCAGTGTTCTACAAGGATCTAGTTTTGGTGTGAGGGATGAAATACTGTATTTAATCACCCCAGATTCTCTTTCCTTACTGTTCCTGGCTCCATGAATTCAAATTTATGCTTTGAATTATTTGAAAGCATGTAAGAGGGAGAAGACAGTTATACCCATAGAAGTGGCTTCTATTACACACTACTAAAACAATAGTGGAAAGTATTTTCTCAGTTTCTGGAGTTTGGTGATGGACTAAAGATTTATTTGCATTTGGAAAAAAAGTGTAATGTTTTTATCTTTGCGCAAGTTGAATGCCATCTTCTCAACTCTGTGAACTGAGAAATAATACCAATTTCAGAAGAAAGTTTTTTGTTTTGTTTTTTTTTCCCTGAAAGGGAGAACTTTGTGTCTACTACTATACTGCTCTTAATGGCTATTATTAGGTTATAATTTCATCTTTTAAAATTAATTGTCCTCTTTAATTTCACCTATTTTGCTTTTCCAAATAGTGTAACTTTTATTTATGTAAAAGACACCCAGGCCTTTTAAAATATTTAGTTCCATGGGAGTTATTTGGAGATCAGATAATATCATATCCGCCTAGGTTGTTTGTTTTATCAACTTTGCTTTCCTATCACATTTCCAACTTAAATGCTTAAATAGCTTTCTTTTGCCTCTTTTTCTTGCATGTTAACTGTATCATTTAGCAAGGTTGTAGCAAAGCTAGAATTGAAGCTATTTTCTGCTTCAGGAAAGAGCCCTGGGTTTGTGGGTAGGGACTCAGGTGCTGTCCTAGTGCTGTAACAAGTCTCTTTCCTTATCTATAAGTGGGCATCATCTACTCTGCCCTTTCTAAAATGCCTTTTCAGAGGATATTAGATAACATGTATAAAGTGCTTTGACATATAAAATGCTCTATAAATTATCCTGCTCAACTTGTTAAACTACACATTGTAAGCATTTCTAGCTCTCACTTGAGTATTCTAGGCAATTAGTTTTACCTTTCTCACAGTTAATTTATGTTGTATCTTAAAGAGGGCAGTGCACTCCGGGTGCTCAGAGTTAAAACAAAATAGCCGGGATCTTCAGTCCATCTCCATTCCTCTAAGGCTTCAAGCAAGTTTCAGAAGGCTCCAGAAATCTTGGAGAGTCCCAGCCCTTATGATACATAAGTGAAAAGCAATAGGGAGTTTGTACATCCTGTGACTCAAGTCAAAAGCAAAGCAAGGAGAAACTGAGTTTGTAAATTCTCAAAATTGACCTTTCATTACACCAGTTTTCTAAGTTGTCTGGATTTTGGAGGCCCTTTTGTAAGGAAATTTGCTCCTTGAAACAGAGTCTAGGCCAAAAGTTTCTCAAAATATCTTTTGTGGGCAGTCCTGAAGATGGTGAGATCTTTTAGCCCCCTTGACCAACTGACATCCAGTTAGAAAATGACATAGCTACTGGGCTGGACAGAACAAATGAGAAGTACTTACGTGTTTAAATTCCCCATTGTGGTGGCTGCATCAAGTCTGGCATCTTTCAGGTGCTGACTCCTCTAGTACCCTTGATTCCAAAGACCACATGTGAAGGTCTTTTCAAGAGAACATCGCAGGGGACGTCCCTGGTGGCACAGTGGTTAGGAATCCACCTGCCAATGCAGGGGACGCAGGTCCAATCCCTGGTCCTGGAGGATCCCATATGCTGCGGAGCAACTAAGCCCGTGCGCCACAACTACTGAACCTGCGCTCTAGAGCCCACGAGCAACAACTACTGAGCCCACGTGCCACAACTACTGAAGCCCACCTGCCTAGAGCCTGTGCTCTGCAACAAGAGAAGCCACCGCAATGAGAAGCCCAGGCACTGCAATGAAGAATAGCCCCCCCTCGCCGCGCACAGGAACGAAGACCCAACGCAGCCAAAAATAAATCAATAAAAATAAAGTTATTAAAAAAAAACATTCAGTAATTAAAAAAAAACTGCAGGGATTTTACTTCAATTTCTGCTACTATCTTGCTTTGTCAATTTACCGAGTTTGCAGCTAGTATCTTATTTGATGACAGAATAGTGAGGATACTGTTTTGGAATGTTAAAGCACTAGATGAGAGCAAAGTGATGTGTGTAAAATTCAGTGAGATCCTGAGATGCACTGGCAGAGTTCACATTCAGTTTTGGCATCAAACTTCCATCGGTCCCTGTTTGAATGGAGCGAACTTCTTCCCCATCATGGAAGTGAGACCAGTATAAATCCGTGTAAAGGGTCGTAGCTGGGAAGGGCGAGTGTTCATTACTTGATGGGGTATATACAGTTTTGGATCTAGCCCACCCCACCCCCGTGGGCGGAGTAAGTCACTGAAAAAAAAAAAAGCTGTGTCGGGAGCTTCCCTGGTGGCGCAGTGATTGAGAGTCCGCCTGCGGATGCAGGGGACACGGGTTCGTGCACCGGTCCGGGAAGATCCCACATGCCGCGGAGCGGCTGGGTCCGTGAGCCATGGCCGCTGAGCCTGCGCGTCCGGAGCCTGTGCTCCGCAACGGGAGAGGCCACAACAGTGAGAGGCCCGCGTAACGCAAAAAAAAAAAAAAAAGCAGTGTCGCAGAAGGAAGCCTTGCTCCATCCCTTACTGCTTCATCCTTTCTCAAGCCCTGCATGCCTTGGCTTAGGCTAGCTTTCCCAGCAAGGCAAACCTGACAGGTTTCTGCAAACAGAACATGTCTCAAGAGTTGTGGGTAAAGAAGGATCCAGGACCAAAAATATCCAGAGGGGGAGAAAAAGATAGTTGAGATATTTTCCTCCTTTTACTAAGGTGGCACAGAGAAAGGGTGGGATTCCCCTTTGTCGCTTGTCAGTCTTGTGCCCGAGAGGCCAAAGTGAGGGGCATTTGAGATATCTTCAAGGAAACTGCGAGACTGGTTTTTCCACTGAAGTCCTACCACACGAAAGGAAAAAGAACTTTAAAGTACTCAAAGTAGCGAAGTCAGCAGCCAGTGTTGGTTTGCCTTATTCTAGTCCCCTTGACTCTACATTACTGAAATCATCCCACTGCCTTCCTGCTTCGGGGATGGAGGCTCTGGAGAGCCCTTTTCGGACCCCGAAGGCCACACCAACGACAAACTAGGTCTTTGGCTTCCACACGCGGGAGGAAACGTGTCCCCTCCGTTGGAGACCGAATGCCCTCAGGTATGCGCAGCGCGTAATGAGGTAACTCAGAT